CTTTTGTTCTACATGTCTTTACAAAATATTAACGTGTAAAAAGATATTGCCAAAAATGTGTGAAAAATTTCTAAATTCCTGATAGGACTTATTTCGAGTCATAGCGAGCGCCGACGTGCGGCACTTCCGGAGAAAAAGAGTGGTGTGTGTCACATCAGCACATGTTGCTCCATCATCGCTGAAAATTTCATGCTTCTGTGTTAAGTGCTTTTTGAGAAAACTGCCGGACAAAGTGACCCTCTGAAAATCACTAAATCGCAAAAAATTCAAAACCGGAAGTGACGTCATCAAAACAAAAAATTATATATCAAGTTTGTTTGATGTTCTATCAGTCCTGAAAGTTTCATAAAAATCAAGCGAGCCGTTTCCGAGAACTCGCGTGCACAAAATCGGTAAGAAAAAAAACAATAACTAGAGCAAAGCTCGTTGCAAAGCAACGAGTAGGTCTTCCGTCCAGTTTTGACCGGAAGTGCCGGAAGTGACATCAAAAAAGAAAGCAATGAGCTAAGTCATCTCCAGTGACTTTATAATTTCAATTTTGCATCAAAAGCCTTCAAAATAAGCTATTTTTGGCTACTTCCGGTTTGACAGGAAGTGACGCTGACGGACGAAAAAAAAGTTTTTATGCTCCCAAACACATATGTTATCCAAAAACTTGTCAAGAACGGCAAAAATACGCGTTTTCCGACTACTTCCGGTTTGACCGGAAGTGACGATGACGGACGAATTTTGACGATCCCAGTAGATAAAGCTTGACATTTTGAACAACTTCGCTTCTTTGACGTATTACAAATTCTCAGTACTTTTTGAGATATTAAGGAAAAACTTTTGGCCCCTCTCAGCCCTTTATTGTAGGGGCCAGCCCCTTATCATTCATATCTTTCGAAAGATCGTGATATTCTTCACAACTTTTGTTCTATATGTCTTTACAAAATATTAACCTGTAAAAAGATATTGCCAAAAATGTGTGAAAAATTTCTACATTACCGATAGGTCTATTTTCGAGCCATAGCTAGCGCCGACGTGCTGCACTTCCGGAGAATAAGAAAGGTGTATATCACATCAGCACATGTTGCTCTATCATCGCTGAAAATCTTACGTTTCTATCTAAAAGCACTTTTGAGAAAAATGCTGGACAATGTGACCCTCTGAAAATCACTAAATCCGGAAATCTCTAAACCGGAAGTGACGTCATAAAAATAAAAAATTATATATCAGGTTTGATTGATGTTCCATCAGTCTTGAAAGTTTCATGAAAATCGATCGAGCCGTTTCTGAGAAATCGCGTGCACAAAATCGGTAAGAAAAAAAACAATAATAAAAATAATAAAAATAGTGGAAAAGAAACCTAAGAATAACAAGAAGGTCTTCCGCTGAAATTTTCATTGAAAGACCGAATAGTTTAATAAAAATAGTGGAAAAGAAACCTAAGAATAACTAGAAACGAAACTCGTTGCGAGCAACGAGAGGTCTTCCGTCCGATTCAGAAAAAAGCACGTAAAATCAAACTGAAAAAGTGATTTTAAAAATCGGACACACGGGGGATCGAACCCGGGTCGCCAACGTGAAAATCCATTGCGGTACCCATTACACCTTTGGGAACCCGCTTCAAATTTAACATTCGAATATCGCGAGATTGCTTATTTTGATTCCAACATACATTACATTTTTTTTTAAAATTCAGTTTGGATTTGTAAAATGACAGCCAGCTTGCTAAATTTTGCTCAAGATGATTACATCGGAATCTGTTACTTGAGTTTTAACAGTAATTTTTAGGTAGATAATCTATTAGTGATGAACAGACAATACTGTTTTCTTTCCATTCAACTTTTTATTCCATGCAACTCCATAAACAGGCATGCCAATGTTATATATTTCTGCACTATTGTCACCATTTGTCTACTACTTAAGTCGGGTCACGATACATTATTTCGTGCCAAACGTCACAAGTAGTTCTTAACGCTATTCCTTTGAAATATTTGATCTATTTAATGGATTTGATAGCTTCAATGAAAATTAGAAATTTATGTTCTTATAACCGGAATTTCGAGCGTTAGAAAGTATATTTATCACATTATACAAATATAATATAGTATACGGCCAAGTAACACTAAAGTGATTTCCACGAATTTTGTATCCTGTTTTCCCCCGAAGTGGAGATGAGTTACACGTTCATGAAAAGACTGGAATGTTTCACTGAAAAAAAAAAATCACTCGCCCTCCGACGGTCAAGGAAGTGATACTATTTAAGTTCGATAATTTGCATTTATTACAAGAATATTTATATAACCTTTAATAAACAATCTTTTTTAAAAAAAAATGTTTTTCTTATTTTTGTCTTTTCTATTCATTTAATATGTCACAAGCCTGCGTGGAAAAATAAACAGACGTCAAGTAATACTTCAGAAACATAGTGAATATTAAGTCAGGCAAGTTTCTTGAAAAGCTATTACTTATAACCATGGTTTAGGATAAGTTTTCCCTGGTGCAAAACAAAAGATTGTAGTCATCGTATTTCCACTTGTAGTCATGTTGTATTCTACTTTGAGATGCAGACAAAAGCAATTTCAATAGACGTTTGAGGAAACCTCATATTAAAACAATACTCAATGCAACGTAATTGCGATGTAGCAATCTAAAGAATCCTTTACATTTCATAAATCTTTTTGGTAGAAGTTTCGTTCATCTAAACGCTCAGCTGACCTTCTAGAACCCGACTTGCTTAATGGCGGAGTTCACGGAGACGCCCCGCCATCTTGGACACGCTTCAGATTTTTAAATGCGAATATCTAGTGTGTGGATTGATCAATTCTAAAATAAATTATATATTAGGCCTTTCCAGTAGGGTCTTAATTACCGTTAATGATATCAAAGAAAAATATTGAAAAACAAAAAAAGTTGAAAAAGTGCACATTTTGAATTCACTTCCTGTAGCGACCGGAAGTACTGACGACGCAAACGAAGGCAAAATTGCACATCTATAACTCATGGTCTATCATCTCTAACAAGTCTCCAGTTAATATCTTGAGCCGTTTTCGAGAACATTCGAAGACAAAATTGCATTTTAAAATCAGGAAATTGCCCATAACTTGGCACTGGTAGCGAATTTTCCAACAAACGGAATTTTATATAAAATTCATATAATGACCTATAATTCCTGAAATTTTCATTGAAATCCACTGAATAGTTTACGAGAAATCGCCTGCACAAAATTTTGTGACAAGACCTCAACAATTTTAATCTTTTGACAAAAACTTTAACCTTGCTAAAAACTTTCGATTTAGAGGAGCTATGATTTTCATATTTCACATGTGTATTCCTTGTGACAAGACCTTTCTTTGGGTACCAACAATTTTAATCTTTTGACCTTGGAGTTTGACCCACTTTTATACAAAAATTCCAAACTTTTAATTTGGCCATATTTTTTGAACAGTAGATACCAGGACATTTATACTTCATATATATATATTTATTACCTAATCAAGTGAATTTTGTTGTTTTATTATAGATTTAATATTTTCATCTATTCTGTATGTGTTTTCAGTTTTTCTTATCTATTCAAAACGATCTATTGACCGGTCAATAGACAGCGCGTTCTATTGACCGCTAATCGAATTTAGTTGTTTGTAACAATGCACAGACATGGTAAACAATCATCTTATTTGATCTTTCGACATTGGTTTTAAAAATTGTATGATTTCAATGGTCGGGTATTTTACTTAATAAGAGATACTTTAATTAATACACTGTGGGATGTTGAGACCGGTTCTTCGGGTGAGACTTATAAACCGAGGTCCCGTGTAGCAGTAGGTGCTCTGCTGGCAAAAAAAGGTCCCTCTCCACCGGGAAGTGGTGACGTCTCCATAAGAGTGAAAATTTTTCGAGAGGAATGTAAACAATAGTCAATACAATCAATCTTTAATTAATATTACAGATGCACTATATCTAGGTATAAATTTACAATATGGTACGGGAACCTTCTGTACTGAATATACAGTTGTGAACACTTAATACGGAAAATATTGCCTCGGGCAATAGAACACACTGAGCTGTTCCCTGCACCGAGGGAAAAATATTCTGGTCTATTGACTGCTCAGGCATGAAATAATTGTATATTGGATACCAACAATCTTGACCTTTTGACCTTGACCTTTGAGACTTCTGTCATTGTGAAAAAACTTTAACCTTGGCCATAACTTTTGAACTGTTAAAGACGGAGCTTTCATACTTCATTCATGTAATCTTTGTGAAAAGAACTTTGACCCTTTGACCTTGGAGTTTGACCTACTTTAAAAAAACGACCTTAATAGTAATTTTTTAAGGGTTAGGGCTAGGCCACTCATACTTCACATATGTAAACCTTGTGACTAGCCCTTTCATTTGATATCAAGAATTTTTACCTTGACCTTGGAGTTTGACCTACTTTATAAATTTTTAACCTTGGCCATAACTTCACTTATGTAATCCTTGTAGGAAGACCCATCATTGGATACTAAGAACTTTGACCCTTTGACCTTGGAGTTTGACCTACTTTTAAGAGGCAAACCTTGATCATAACATTAAAAGGGTTAGGGCTAGTGTTTTCATACTTTGCATATTTAATCCTTGTGATAAGACCTTTCATTCGATAGCAAGACCTTTGATTTTGACCTACTTTTAAAGATTTTTAACCTCGGCCACAACTTCTAAATGGTTAGGGCTAGGGTTTTCATTCTTTACATGTATTTTTTGTGGCAATACCTTTCATTGGATACCAATGATCTTGACCATAGTGATTTCCATACTTTTGAAAAAAACTTTAACCTTGGCCTACTTTCATATGTAACACATTGTATTTCCAGTGAGAATACCTTACTTTTGGTATATTAAATTGGTATATTAAATTTGCATTAAAGAAAAGTTTTATCTTTGCTGTGGTGCCATATGGGGGCATCAGTGTTTCACAAACACATCTTGTTTGACATTTTTAAAGAATGAGTCTTGAAATGTTTCCAGCTTACCGGTAATTCATCTGGATCTACTGGGAATCTGAATGGACTAGAATCCTCACACTGGAATACTGACTCCAGAAGATTAAGGCACTTGGATTTCCAGGAGTCAGGGGTTTTATTGACTGGTGATGCTGACTTCCTCCATGTGCTGGTTCCCGGCTGATCATCATCTGACTACATTCATAAATAAAACAAGAGATGATTGTAAAATACTTATGGCCCCCTCCCCCTACATTGGAATTTTTCTAAGTCTAAAAGGGCATATCTCTGTCAAAAATGGCGCGATTGTACCCAAAACAGAACTTGACCAAGATATATTTCCATTTCTTATTTTTCTCTCTGTGATAACTCTTTGAAAGTTAGCGGAGTTAATTTCTTGATAATTATACCAGAATGTAAGTTAGGCAGGTCAATAGGTCAGGAGCTAAGGAGACCTAATATGCATGCAAATCTCGTGCGCATCTGTCTCTGAATCTGACCCTAAGGAGGCCAAATATGCATGTAAATCTCGTGCGGCTGCCTTTGTGTTTGACGTCGGTGGGCGAGGACTATTGAAATAGGGATGGGAATCCTCGTGTAATTCAAATATATGTCTGCTTTTTTAAAGTCTAAATCTACAATTTTATTTCACAATGAAATGAAAATATAAAGAATCACTGTGTAGTTAGTATAGTATGCCAGGGACATCAACAATAGTGGGAAACATGGATTTATGCATAACGAGCTTTGCCATGTTTCCCACTATTGTTGATGTCCTGGCATACTATACTTACTAGACAGTGATTCCTTAAATTTATCTGATGAATCTGTATACCAAATAGAGTACCAAATCTCAGTATGCACAACCTCTGCAAAGGAAATGAACGGAAACTGTAAATAATTGGAATTTTTCTAAGTCCAAGGGACATAACTCTGTCAAAAATGGTGCGATTGTATCAATAACAGAATTTGACCTAGATATACCTCTGATAAATCTGTACGCTAAATTTCATTTCAGTATGTGCAACTGTTGCAAAGAAAATGAACGGAAACTAAATAATTGAAATTTTTCTAAGCCCAATGGGCATAACTCTGTCAAAAATGGCACGATTGTACCCAAAACAGAACTTGACCTAGATATTCATGCAATATATCAGTATACCAAATTTTTATTTCAGTATGTGCAACGGTTGCAAAGAAAATGAACGGAAACTGCAAATAATTGAAATTTTTCTAAGTCCAAGGGGCATAACTCTGTCATAAATGGTGTGATCGTACCCAAAACAAAATTTGACTTAGATATTCATGTGATGTATCTGTATACCAAATTTCATTTCAGTATATGAAACGGTTGCGAAGAAAATGAATGGAAACTAAGTGGACCGACAGACAGCAGCAAAGCAATATGCCCTCCCTTCTTCAAAGGAGGGCATAAATATACATGTATGGACAGTGAATGTGAAAATTTAAAAGAATAAAAATCTTCCCACTACAAACTTTCAGTTTGACTTACATGCATGAGCCTGTTGTTGCTTGAGGTATCTTCAGTTTCACTACCAGATGACACGCCCCCCACTTTTTCTCTGTGACAAAGCTGATTTAAGATTGGCATTGGATCGGTACAGTCAGTATCACTGGAAATAGTAAAGTATAGTATACTGAATACCGTATAATCCCTATTAACCACCCCTGCCCCTATAAGCACCCCCTTAGGTCTTTTTTAATTGTCAGGTAATAAGGGCCCCCTGTACAGTGATTAAAATCAACAAGAATCATATCAAACAAGAGGCCCATGGGCCTTATAGGTCACCTGAGTATCATGCGACAACTCTCCAACAATTGAATTTGATTCATGTTTTAAACTAGAGGCCATGAAATTAACAATTTTGAAAGAGGCACCATTGCTTATCATAATTATACACTCAGCATGCTTATTTTGGTTACTTAAAACCCAGAGGTAAATCAGAGTAACAAACAGAAAATGCATTTCCACTTTTAGTGAATTTCAGGGCCCCTGGGTCAGGGCTTCTTCTGTTAGAGCTGGTCAACAGTTTAGTTCCCCATCCCACAGGAACCACTGACCCTGGGGCCACATCTTTCAAAATTTTGGAAATTTTTTAAAATTTTATTTCATCATGCTGTTGATTAATACCAAAGTGCAGAGTTCAAAGCATTGAATTATTTCAGACTATGTTACCCCCCCCCCCTAAGTACCTCTGTCCCAGGGGACAGGAAATTAACCATTTTTGGAAGAAGCAGTGTTTTTTTCATAAATGTATACTAAGGTCATTGGCATTATACCCAATAACAAAGAAAAAGATTTTCAAAGAATTCAAGCATTTTCACTATATGAACATTAGAGCCCCCCCCCCCCCCCCCAGCACAAGAATCTCTAACCCAAGGATCCTGAAATTCAAAAATTTCAAAGAAGCATCCTTCCTCCTCATAACTATGTACATAGGTCATTGGTTAAATACTCAGGTGCAGAAAAGAAGAATTTATGCATTTTCACTATATATTCAATAAAGCCCCGCCCTAACACCAGAACCCCTAACCCAGGGGCCATGAAATTCACAATTTTGGAAAAGGTAGACTTATTCAACATAACTATGTACTTGGTTAGTTTATTTAATGCCCAAGAACAGAGAAGAAGAATTTCAAAGAATTTTTGCATTTTACTATATAATCTATATAGCCCCACCCTTCCACTAGAACCCCTGACCCTGGGGCCATTAAATTCACAATTTGAGAAGAGGCAGTCTTATTCAACATAACTATGCACTTGGTTAACGGTAGTTTATTTTAAATGCCCACAAACAGAAAAGAAGAATTTCAAAGAATTTTTGCATTTTACTATATAATCTATATAGCCCCATTCTACCACTAGAACCCCTGACCCTGGGGCCATTAAATTCACAATTTGAGAAGAGGCAGTCTTATTCAACATAACTATGCACTTGGTTAGTTTATTTTAAATGCCCACCAACAGAAAAGAAGAATTTCAAAGAATTTATGCATTTTCACGATATAATCTATATAGCCCCATCCTAGTACTAGAATCCCTGACCCTGGGGCCATGAAATTCACAAATTTGGAAAAGGCAGTCATTTTCAACTTACCTATGCACTTGGTTGGTTTATTTAATGCCCACAAACAGAAAAGAAGAATTTCAAAGAAATAATGCATTTTCACTATATAACCTGTTTAGCCCCGCCCTAGCACTAGAACCCCTGACCCTGGGGCCATGAATTTCACAATTTTGGTAGAGGATTCAATGCTGATTACAATCATACCAACAGTTTAACTGCTTGATGTCCAGGAGTAAAGAAGAAGATTTCTAAAGATTGCACTAATTTTAGTGGTTTTTGCCCCACCCCCCAGGCCCCAGGGGGACAGGGACCATGAAATTCACAATTTTTGTTCCCCTTCACCCATAGATGCTATATGCCAAAGAACTGGGTACGGTATGTATAACGAGGCGGCCCTGTCTCTAAATCTGATTGAGGTTTTTTACAAACATGCCCACGATGTGTCCTTTCAAAATCATTTTATTTTTTGGAATTATCTCTTACCGTTTTTCCGCCAGAGGTTTGGAAAAATGGTGCATTTTCTTCAATAATTACAACTTTTGACGTAACGACGTCATCACGACGTTAAGTGGTTTTAACGTTACATTAAATGAAATCTATAAATTCTCTTAACCGAGAACTACTAGTATTTGCTTAATCCTGCAAATATTCCGGTAAACCATTTTGAACTATCTTTCAATTTACCATACATCGTTGATAGTTTGAAATAGTTTAATAATTTTCAGGAATATATAATATTTTTTACAAACAATTGTACCAAACACGCTAGTCTACAAAACTTTATCCATCCAGATGAAATGAGGTAAGTACTTAAAAATTTAACGTATAGTTTATGAAGTTGGAATTTTTTTTGGCAATGAAAAAGCTATCAACAGAACTCCTCCTTTCATTCCAACAAATGACGGTGCTATAAAAATGTTGGGTCTTTTATATGAACATATTAATTACTCCCTATTTCGGGGTTATATGATATGCCTCTTTCAATTTTCTTTGATTTTAGAATTTTTACCCTCGCTTGAAAAGTGGGAGGGTATATAGTGATCGGGGTGTCCGTCCGTCTGTTACGCTTTAGGGGTACCTCTCTTTTATGTTTTGCCGTTAGAAGCCCAAAACATGTGTCGGATCAAAAAGTAAAATAAAAGGTGCATGTAATGGCAATATGTTATTAAGATTCTTTGAAAGTTTCATTGAATTTCATTCAGTGGTATAATAGGATATGCGGATAAGAGATGAGTGCCCTTGACGCGTAACAGACAGACAGACTGGTGGACATATCGATTACTATAACCCTCCTGATTTTCAAGCAGGAGGTAAAAAAAACACGAATTTCCGGGAAGGGATCCCAGAATTTAGTAGTACAATGTAATAGTACTGTCTAACAGGCATAATTTTCTAGACTTGTAGAAATAAATATTATACTATATTGAAATGTTATGTGTGTGATTTACATAGTTTATCCACGTCAGGTATAGAAGTCTGTGCATACATGCCAACTTTCCCGATTTAGGCGGGATCCTCCCGATTTTACCCTTCATCCCGCCTTCCCGATCGGGAAGGAAAAATTGCCCTAATTTCCCGATTTGAAAAAAATCACCAAAATTTCCAATTATAAAAGATTCCCTACTGCTGAATTTGGACAATCGGGTTAGCAATGTCAAACTTGTTTATTCAATGCACTCAGATAAGTTTCATTGTTTATTTTACAATGTTAATTAGCAACAGGAAATCACTTCACGCTTGAACGCACGCAGTTGTCCAGGTACAAGTAGCTTATAGCTTTGGGCAATTAAGGGATTATCTTGTCAGTTTTAAGGGGTATGCAAGGTGAAATACATAGATTAATGTGTTAATTGTAAGTCATTTTATTAAAAACATAAATTCAAGACAATGAAATACTAATCAAACTATAAAATCGGAATCCAAAGAGATCGTTTTTTGAAAACGAAAGTAGAAAACTACAAAGCATAGCTGCTGATTTTATATACATATAATGAAAAATATTGTAAAGTTTGCCAGTTAAAATATTATTAAATTAAGATGAAACAATCAAGTGTATGTCAATTAGAATTTCTTTTCCCTTCCTTCTCCCAAAAGTAATATTTTTTAGGTATGTGCATGACTTAAGGAAATACCCACGTGGCATCATCAAGCCTGACAAATTTCATGACTGTAAAAACTAGAACTGTCCAAACGGGACAAAATACCCCCCGCTGGGTTTTTCAGAAGTAAGTTTTTCCATAATAAAGATATGTATCAAACATGAATTATGAAATTTTTATTCCAGTGACCTTGAACTTCCCCAAATGACCTTGGGTCAAGGTCATGACACACCCATGGGTCATGAGCAATCTTTCAGTGAAATGAGAACCTACCAAGTTTATCCATAAGAAAGATATGGACCGGACACAAATTATGAAATTTTTCTTCCAGTGACCTTGAACTTCCCCAAATGACCTTAGGTCAAGGTCATGACACACCCGTGGGTCATGGGCAATCTTTGTGTGAAATGAGAACCTACCAAGTTTATCCATAATAAAGATATGGACCGGACACGAATTGTGATATTTTTCTTCCAGTGACCTTGAACTTCCCAAAATGACCTTGGGTCAAGGTCATAACACACCCTTGGGTCATGGGCAATCTTTGTGTTAAATAAAAACCTACCAAGTTTATCCATAAGAAAGATATGGATTGGACAGGAATTATGAAAATTTTCTTCCAGTGACCTTGAACTTTTCCACATGACCTTGGGTCAAGGTCATGACACATCCTTGGGTCATGGGCAATCATTGTGTGAAATGAGAACCTACCAAGTTTATCCATAAAAGATATGTATCAAACATGATTATGAAAATTTTCTTCTAGTGACCTTGAACTTTCCCAAATGAACTTGGGTCAAGGTCATGACACACCCTTGGGTCATGGGCAATCTTTGTGTGAAATGAGAACCTACCAAGTTTATCCATAAGAAAGATATGGACCGGACACGAATTATGAAATTTTTCTTCCAGTGACCTTGAACTTCCCCAAATGACCTTGGTTCAAGGTCATGACACACCCTTAGGTCATGAGCAATCTTAGCTTTGAGTAGTAGATTCTAATGTCCCTCTGTAAGAAAGATATGGACCGGACACGATTGCACAGACAGACGGACAGCTGGACAGACAGACGGACAGACGGACAAGGTGATTCCTATATACCCCCCCCCCCCCAAACTTCGTTTGCGGGGGGTATAAAAATAATTATCCTTTGGATAGGTGCTATAAATTTCAGTAAAATTAATACCTTATTAGAATTTCTAATAAATTGAAATATAAATAAAAAATCTCAAAAATGTTTCCAGAAACAGGACTTTACAGTATCAAAACCTCATATATTTTTTTAGCCTTTGAAAAAAAATGATTTAAAAGTTGTACAATTTTCAATTTTTCACTAAATTATGTGTCCTGGTAGAAAAAAAATCATGTTTTTAATGAGAGAGGCACTTATTTTAGCAAAAATATTTCAATTTTGGGGAAAAAACAACATTTTTTAACATTTTTTTAAAATTAATTTTTTGTGTTAAATTAATCCTTTAGTTGTATTAATAAGTGATATCAAATATTACAAATTTAAAAAAACATCATTTCATTTTCATTTTATTTCACAACAAAATGTCGCGTATTTAGACCTTTGAAAATTGTCGTCACGTGCTAAGTCCCCATGGGAATTTTCAAAAGTTGGCATGTATGTCTGTGCGTTTTGTTTTCTAAGCAATACACAGTCACTTGCATTGGTGTCGGCTGTAAATGATCGACCAACAATCAAAGTCGAGAGGTGATCAACAGAAAATAGGAAAGGACTGTCTCTAGTTTGAAATTAAATTCTTGATGTAAACTTGTCCATTGGTAGTCGTAATTGTACATCTTGATAATCAGTACCCCCCCCCCCCCCATTCTATATATTTTTCTATTTGAATGAAGCAAAATACAAATAATCGAAATGCATAATGACAAAATACTTAATATAAAAATATCAAAACTTAGTTCAAGTCCCTTTTCTTATTTAACCTTTTCATAAGCTACATATTGTGACACTTTTGCAGTTACATGTACTAGTATGTTATTAATATACGAAAACTAATGTTATTTTGTGTCGTGTGGGCACCGTCACTACGGCATGCATTTTTTTTTACAGAGTTAGGTTTGTCATTCCCGGATTACCATTAGAAAGCGAGATTGGGTTTCTAACAAAATAAGTTGTTTTTTTCTTGAAAGTTGTTTTAATGTAGAATTCTTTTAAAATAGACCTCACAAACAGCTGACATGTATTACGTCATTTATGTGACTATACATCTACTGAGACAAAAACTGCTAAAACAGACATTTTTGATATTGATTATGCTTTACAATACCTCCTAAATGTAAATGTTTGTGGATATTTGATAGATTTCAGTGACAATTATAATTTCAACTCCAATCCTGTCGCACTTCCTTTGGAAACATTAACATTCTGGGGCCTTCGCAATGTTTTACGTCATTTGTTCTTGTAGTAACGATAAAAAACTTTTCATATTTTTTTTGGAACTAATAATCATCACAGACGGAAGTTGACATCTTTAAAATTCAGATCTGATTCGTACCATTCTCACTACGGTGATATGGACTGGACACCCCTCCCCACCTTCCCAGCCCTTATGAATGTCATTTGTATCAATATTTATATCCTATGACATTTTTAAGGTATTATTTCATAGGTAATTTGGTTGAAATTCTTTTAAATCCTAACAATATTTTGTCTGATACATTCGTTTTAACACAGATAATTTTTATAAAAAGCAATTTAATGTCTTATAAATGACTTAATTAATTTCTAAAAAAAAAGTTCCTAATCGAGCTAAATACATCGATTGCATGCAGCGAAAGGGGAAAGACATGTCTCTTGTCAAAAAATTATGCATGATTGTGCTTGTTTTTATTTCTTAAATATATGGCGGATTCATATATGTTAAAATTGCCTTCACTTGTCTGTGTAAAGAAAAATGTTAATTGCTATTGGAAACTGTTAATCTTTATTCAGACACAAATAAATAGTTGATTGCATCATGTTTCTTTTGAAATTGCCGAAAACACTCACAACTATAGCCATACAAAATTTGTCAAAATAATATCATTTCATTATCTAAACTCCTTATAGATTACAGTTACAGATCCAGGAATTTAATAACGTGGGAGGGGGTGGTATTGAGTACAGGAAATGTACTGCGTTGAAACCCCCTGGGGAATTGGAGCACATTCCTGGTAGGGTCTGGGGAACGAACATCTGCTATAATATGTGCCCCCCCTCCTTTGATTTAGAAAACCAATCGTCACCTTGCAGGAATTTTAGAATACATTGCCATGGCGGTAAAATAATATTTTGGAATATCTCATACCATACGCAGGGGTGGATCCAGGAATTAAAGTTAGGGGGGCACAAGATTTAGGCAGAGGGTCTGGGGGCCGCCTTGATGCCCCCAGTGGGTCTAGGGCAAAGCCCTGGTGGGGGCCCAGGGGGCGAAGTCCCCGGAAACTCATGGATTCTGGAGGTTTTATAGAGTAAAAATGTGGTCTACCGAGTAGACATTTTAAACATTTTCTTGACAAAACTATGTTTTATGCTAACTTTGACAATTTTAGGGAGGGGAGCAGGGTGCCCCCCCCCCCCCGCCTTAAATCCGCCACTGATACATGTAGATCTACTGATAAGTTTGTGTTTAATGCTCAAGCTCCAGACAGCTCAGTATTACGTTACGCTACAACACCATATCGTTATTCGTAGGGAACGAAAGTAGTCCCGGAGAATGGACACTGTATGGAGTTTGTTTAATGATAGTAACAAAAACCAGAAGTCTCTGTCGAGACTGAAGCTCTACTGGTTTGTACTTATAGCAAAGGAAGAGAAAAGTACTTAAGCAGTTGGAAATTGAAACTTTTCAACAGCAATAAATAGAATAATGATCCTCGATTAAGTCTCTTTATGTTCTTAGTGCAGTCTACTTGCATGCCACATTTATATTATAATCAGACTAAAATTGTATTTGGAGTAGCATTTTGAAAGAATTTCACAGAAATTTCTATTTTTAAAAACCACGGCAACACCGTTCATCCAAATCAAAAACCGATACACAGAATTATGTATCTTATTGTAGTCTACTTGTGTGCCAAGTTATATTGAAATCAGACTAAAACTGTAGAAGGAGTAGCATTTTGAAAGAATTTCACAGAAATTTCTATTTTTAGTAACCACGGCAACACCGTTCATCCAAATCAAAAACTGATACACAGAATTATGTATCTTACTGTAGTCTACTTGTGTGCCAAGTTATATTGAAATCAGACTAAAACTGTAGAAGGAGTAGCATTTTGAAAGAATTTCACAGAAATTTCTATTTTTAGTAACCACGGCAACACCGTTCATGGAAATCAAAAACCGATACACAGAATTGTGTATCTTAGTGTAGTCTACTTGTGTGCCAAGTTATATTGAAATCAGACTAAAACTGTAGGAGGAGTAGCATTTTGAAAGAATTTCACAGAAATTTCTATTTTTAGTAACCACGGCAACACCGTTCATCGAAATCAAAAACTGATGAACAGAATTATGTATCTTATTGTAGTCTACTTGTGTGCCAAGTTATATTGAAATCAGACTAAAACTGTAGAAGGAGTAGCATTTTGAAAGAATTTCACAGAAATTTCTATTTTTAGTAACCACGGCAACACCGTTCATCGAAATCAAAAACCGATACACAGAATTATGTATCTTAGTGTAGTCTACTTGTGTGCCAAGTTATATTGAAATCAGACCAAAACTGTAGGAGGAGTAGCATTTTGAAAGAATTTCACAGAAATTTCTATTTTTAGTAACCACGGCAACATCGTTCATCGAAATCAAAAACCGATACACAGAATTATGTATCTTAGTGTAGTCTACTTGTGTGCCAAGTTATATTGAAATCAGACCAAAACTGTAGGAGGAGTAGCATTTTGAAAAATTGTTTACAGACAGACAGACGGACAGACAGACAGACAGACGGACGGACGACGGACGCATTACTATCGCATAAGCTCTTCTGGTCTCTGACCAGTAGAGCTAAAAATTATTAATTACATGCTTGTTTTACAAAATACAAGCAAATTTTTAAAAATCAAACGGTGGATGGGGGGAGGGGGCGCTCGACGCAACGGCCCTTGATCCGTCTTTGAATTGCATGTTTAATTTCAACCTGTCTTGAAAGCAATGATGTCAACATTCAGCATGATAAATATATAATCTAAATCATACTTTAGAAAAGCTGCATGATAATTTTCAATAAAACGTTAAAAAAAATCCTTTCTTTAACATAAAGTCAGTATCACGTCCAATATGAAAGAGACGCTCGTTTTAATTTTAAAAGGTACATATGTATAAACGTATAATTGGTTCAGTGGTTTCAGAGAAGAAGCTAAAAATGTTCAAATGTTAAATCACGACGAACGACGCATGACGAACGAAAACAGATAGCAATAGGTCACCTGATGAAGAACGTGAAAATGAAAAGTGTCTATAATCCTATTTCTCAGTGGAAAATGAATAATTTAGCATAATTTGGGTGGATTATTTTCACTTTACAAAATAACCGCCCCCCTCCTTTTGCAATTTTCTAAGCGTCCGGGGCGGTTAATAGGGATTATACGGTATTATATCATATTCCACCTCAATTCTTAATTCATTTATAGAAAGGCAAATTTAAATTCTCCATAACTGGCTTTCATTATCAGACAATTTCTGAGAATTACCTGGTAAACCTGAGCAGGGCCTCTGTTACAATTCTGGCACTTTTCACAATAGAAGTTCCAGGCTCATTGAAGGCCTTGGCATTGTGTTCAATATATCTAATGTCAAACTGCAGAGCACTCACTCTCCTGAAGGAAACAGTATCACTTCACTTATACTCAGTAACATATTAATCTGTTGTCTACCATTAACAGGTTATAATGATGTCTTCTTTTGAATAAATTTTTGATTGACCATACCTGTAGAATCGGTTCTCTAGTCGTGATTTGATGGTGTTTAGATCTATGAGGTATTCTATGATGATGCCGTAGATTGGGAATACATTAAGATCCACCAGTGTAAGGAACTGTTCTGTTATACAATGCTGAATGATGCTCTCCATCCCGTGAGCAATACGATCACACTCTGCATCACGCCCACACGAGGGCCACTCCCCCACCCTCGGGGTGTACACCAGGGATTCTAACTCCTCCGGCTGTACGGGTACACTGGACTCATTATGAGCCAGCAGATCTAATCAACAAGACATGAAACCACAGAATGTCTGATATGATTTTATCCACACAAATACATGGAATTTTCAAATTTTATGAGGAAACAACCATTCACTACTATAATATAGCAGGTATCTTGAGCAAGCGAGAGGCCCTTGGGTCACATCGTTCACCTGAGTAACTTGGGTGATGCAGATCTTTAAAAGATTTCCCCTCTTGCTATACCTATCGTGCCCCCTACCCCCTTCCCTTTTATGATTTTAATACTTTGGAATCTACACTACCCCAGGATGCTTTCATATAAGTTTCAGCTTTCCTGGCCCAGTGGTTCTTGAGAAGAAGATTTTTTAATGATTTGTTCTATACATTTCTATGTAAAACTTGGAATTCCCTATTGTGGCCCCGCCCTACCCCCGGGAGTCATGATTTTAACAATTTATTATCTACACTACCCAAGGATGCTTCCACATAAGTTTCAACTTTCCTGGCCCAGTGCTTCTTGAAAAGAAGATTTTTTAATGACCCCACCCTATTTTTGTCTCCCCTTGTAAAGGGACTTGGCCCTTCATTTAATAATTTAAACCCCCCTTCACCCAAGGATGCTTTGTACCACGTTTGGTGAAAACTGGCCCATTGATTCTTGAGAAAAAGTTGAAAATGTGAAAAGTTTACAGACGGCCGACGGACAAAGCCTTCGGCTCAGGTGAGCTAAAAACATAATACTACATTTCAATAATGGTACTTCAAATTTACAGTATGGTGGACTGACTCATCTATTAAACGTAACTGATAAACATTCTCATTCTTAAGAAAAAAAATTTAATACTTCTGGAATAAATGCCTTACGATTATGATCGACAGGCTCCATGTCCCATGGACTCAGTTTATCTGTCTCTCCAGTGTCCCATCTACAGCAAAAAATGATTTAATACCATAATACTGACTAACAAGTACAGATATACTGGGCTTTCTCCTTAATATAGACAAGTATGGACACATTGTGGTATACAATAAAAGATTTCTCTGTTTGCTGCATTTGGAAATCTCATACAATGCATAAAATACAATTTTAAATGATGGAATCAAAATAATCAAATCTCAGTATCTCTATAAAATTATTTATTGATCACAAAATGTTGCAATCATTTTTAAAACATAATTTTCCAGTTAACTTTAATACTTTTATATTTACATGACAATGAAGCATTGGAACATGCTATCTGGATAAATAGCTTCATATGGACTCTGACAGACAATGGTTCCAAACCACCAGGCATCATCAATTATGGAACGGAATCTATCACCTTTATAAAATACGATCTTACATGTACATGTGACATTCTGAATCTCCTTTAGAAACCAACATCTTCAACAATCAAGTATGCTATGATTTAATAATCAAGTCTGTACTTTCAAAAACTTCTGACTGCCTTCAAAGTTAGTAAAATTGTAGAGTTTTAATAAGCTAGAAAGTCTGCTATTTCAAACAATAGCTTATGTCGTCCCAAACTGGACAAGACTTTCTTTTTTTTTCATCACTAAAACAATACCCATTATAGCTAGGCTTGGAAAAACATCAACTCGTATCACTCCTTTCAGTACTTTGATTTAACAAAAGGCCCATGGTCCTTATAGGTCACCTGAGTATTGTGTAACAACTTTCAAACAATTAAATTTGGTTTGTGTTTTAAACCAGAGGCCATGAAATTCACAATTCACAATTTTGAAGAGGCACCATTGCTTATCATTATTATTAACTAAGAATGCTTACTCTATTTACTTAATACCCAGAGGTAGATCAGAGTAACGAAGAGAAAATGTACTTCCACTTTATACCTAGTTGTGCACCTCACTCCAAAGGAACCACTGACCCAGGGGCCACATATTTAATTTTATCATAAAATGGTTGATTAATTTATTTTCAGACTATTTAACCCCCCACCCACCACCACTCTGACCCAGGGGGCATAAAAAAACAACTTTGCTAGATGCACTTTTCTTCATCAAAAATATTTATTATACCTCTATTGATAGTACTCGAATTTGATTGGCTGGTAAGAAAACTTTAAAACACAACAAAGACTCCAAATGGTACCATTTACAGCAATACATGTACTTAGTTAGTTTATATAAATCTAAGAGCAGAGAAGAAGATTTTCAAAGAATTCATGTATTTTTACTATATAATCAATAGAGCCCACCCTAAAACCAGAACCCCTGACGCTGGGGCCATAAAATTCACAATTTTGGTAGAGGCACTCTTGTTTATCATAACTATGTACTTAGTTAGTTTATTTAATACCCAGGAGCAGAAAAGATTTTCAAAGAAATAATGCATTTTCACTATATACTTATTTAACCCCGCCCTAGCACAAGAACCCCTGACCCGACGGCCATGAATTTCACAATTTTGGTAAAGGACTCAATGCTGATTACAATCATGCAAACAGTTTGACTGCTTGATGTCCAGGAGTAAAGAAGAAGATTTTTAAAGATTGCATTAATTTTAGTGGTTTTAGCCCCACCACCAGGCCCCAGGGGGGCATGGATCATAAAATTCACAATTTTTGTTCCCCTTCACCCATAGATGCTTTGTGTCAAATTTGGTTGAAATTGGTTCAGTGGTTGCAGAGAAGAAGCGACCGATTGACGATGAACGACGAACGACTTACGACGGACGAAAACAGATAGCAATAGGTCACCTGAGTGACTCAGGTGACCTAATAATGCATTTTCACTATATAATCTATATAGCCCCGCCCTAGCACTAGAACCCCTGACCCTGGGGCCATGAATTTCACAATTTTGGTAAAGGACTCAATGCTGATTACAATCATGCAAACAGTTTGACTGCTTGATAAGTAAAGAAGAAGATTTTTAAAGATTGCAATAATTTTAGTGGTTTTGGCCTCACACCTCAGGCCCCAGGGGGGCGGGGACCATGAAATTCACAATTTTTGTTCCCCTTTATCCATAGATACTGTATACCAAATTTGGTTGAAATTAGTTCAGTGGTTTCATAGAAGAAGCTGAAAATGTTCAAATGTTAACACACTACGGATGACGCACGACGACGGACGAAAACGGATAGCAATAGGTCACCTGAGAAACTCAGGTGACCTAAAAATCAAAGTTAAAGAATTTTCACTTTTCCCCTGTTTCCATGGAAACTATCGACAATTACCAATTTTTAAATCCAATGAGCACAATTACAGATACTAATCATTACATCAATAAAATTTCATGACGAATGTTCGAGGGACCAGAGAGAACACTTGCGGACAAAATTTGTCACTTTTTGCAGGTTTCCATGGCAACGGTAGCCATTTTGAAACTGGATGACCACACAACACACCTAAAACCAGTGATCCTCCTTTGAGGAAAGTTTTAGGAAGATTGTCCCAGCCATCTCCGAGAAACAGCCAGGAGAACAAAAACATGCATATAATCGCAGTATTTCACCCGAATTCATTCATGGCAATAAAATAATGTTTATTCCATGTTTAACCCTTTATCCCGTTGAAATAACTCATGTGATATCGTTTTCATATCACACAGTTGTAATGTCACGATGGATTTTGCGGAGTGATGAAGTAAAATGAAGTGGAGTCTTCTATAAAACAGTGCTAAACATTGTTTGTGTTGTAAAAAACATGGGATAAAAAGAATCTCACATGATTTGTAGATAGATATGATTTTTATCCAAATCGTTGTTTGTTTTTAAAATTCACACAACTCATTGGATAAAAATCATATCCAACTACAAATCATGTGAGATCCTATATTTTCACAAAATCTATTTAAACAAGAGGCCCACGGGCCTTATAGGTCACCTGAGTATCATGTAACAACTTTCCAGCGATTGTATTTGGTTCGTGTTTTTATCCAAAAGCCATGAAATTTACAAATTTTGAAAGAGGCACCATTGCTTATCAAAGGGCAGATTTCAAAGCATTAATCTATTTTTAGTCAAAGTACCCCCCCCCCAGGTACCCCTGACCCAGCAGCCCTGAAATTATCTATTTTGAAAGAGGCCCCTTTCTTCATTATAAGGCCAACATTTTTTTTTTATGTTTAGGTTTAGTTATAAACGTGAGAATAAAAAAGTCCCGAAAGAGAAGGAAATAAAATAAAATTTTTGATAAATCAATTATTAACATTTGTACATTCTTTTTTATGCTATCCTAATAGGCTCCTTACCACTGGACATATAATGCTTACAAATAGGAAAGTAGAACATTTAATTGCTTATTTCATCATCTGCCAGTTTGGGCTTCTTCTTTGGAACCACTGAACCAATTTCAACGAAAATTGACTATACAGAATCTATGGGTGTAGGGGAACAAACATTATAATTTCATGGTCCCTGCCCCCCCCCCCCCCAGGGCCTGAGGGGTGGGGCCAAAACCACTAAAAATGATGCAATATTTAAAAATCTTCTTCTTTACTCCTGGACATCAAGCAGTCAAACTGTTGACATGATTGTAATCAGCATTGAGTCCTCTAACAAAATTGTGAAATTCATGGCCCCTGGGTCAGGGGTTCTGGTGTTAGGGCAAGGTGCTAGAGATCATATAGTAAAAGTGCATTATTTCTTTGAAAATCTTCTGTGCTCCTGGGTATTAAATAAACTAACTATAAGTACATAGTTAAGATGACCAAGAGTGCCTCTTCAAAAATGGTGAATTTTATGGCCCCTGGGTCAGGGGTTCTGGTGTTAAGGCAGCTAGGCTCTATTGATTATACAATAAAAATACATTAATTCTTTGAAAATATCCTCCTCTGCTCCTGGGTATTAAACAAGCTAATTAAGTAAAAAGTTATAATTAACAAGAGTGCATCTTCCAAACTGTGAATTTTAAGGCCTCAGGGTCAGGAGTTCTGGTGTTAGAGCGAGGCTCTATTGATTATATAGTGAAAATGCGTTAATACATGAGGAAGGATGCCTCTTCTAAATTTGTGAATTTCATGGGTCAGGGGTTTTGGTGTAAGGAGGGAACTCATTTGATTATGTAGTGGAAATGCATGAAAGCTTAAAAATCTTCTTTCATAACTCTTGGGTATTAAACAAACTAACTATATAGTTATGATGAGCAAGAGTGTTTCTTCCAAAATTGTGAATTTTGTGGCCACTAAGTCAGGGGTTGTGATGTTAAGGCAGGGCTTTATTGATTATACAGTGAAAATACATTGATTCTTCAAAAATCTTCTTCTCTGCTCCTGGGTATTAAACCAACAAGAGGCCCATGGGCCACATCGCTCACCTGAGCACTGTGGCTAGGAAAAATTATTTATTATTGAAAAATTAAAATCCAAAAGTAGTCCCATGACCAATTATGGCTTTGCTATTCTTGAGAAGATGATTTTTAAAAAATGTTCCTATATTATACATATATTACATGGCTTTGAGGGCAGCATACCAGAATATTTGCCCCTCGGTGACAGGAACGCCCTGGAGTGTTATGTCGCCCGAGGCCGCCGGCAGTGGGCGACATAACACTCCAGGGCTTTCCTGTCACCAAGGGGCAAATATTCTGGTATTGCTGCCCGAGAATTAAGCCATGTAATATATGGTATATAACATTTTTAAGCATTGAACCCAAATCGATCATCGAACATATTTCTTGAACGCTATGTACACATATATGTATGTTGAGTATAGTACTATTCCGAAATATCCCGTCCTGTTTCATGGCAGAATGTTTTCAGTATACTGACACTTGTGTTGATAACCTTTGTTGTATTAAAAGAATTTTTCTCCTCAATTAAAATATCTAATTCCTCTGAATTAAAATAAACAAATCGCAGATCTTGTTTTGACTTTTTAACTTTCGCGGAACTGTTTACGTTTGCTTAGCAACTGCCTCTGTGATTTTCGAACCCGACGTAATTAATATGCAGAATGATTGCACGCTAGGGAACATAACCGTGTTCGGGAGGGCAACATAACTGTTTCCGGGGAACATAACTGTATCCGGCGTGATTCGGCAGTTTTTCAGGGCATATGGATAAAAATACTAAATTTGTAATATAATTGGAAAACTTCTTCAAAAATGTTATATATTTCTATGTTAAACTTCGGTCGGCCATTGTGGCCCCACCCTACCCCCCGGGGTCATGATTTGAACAATCTTCAATCTACACTACCTGAGGATGCTTCCATATGGATATGATGAATTTTGGCTTTGTTATTCTTGAGAAGAAGATTTTTAAAGAATTTTCCTTTATATTTCTATGTAAAACTTTGATCGGCCATTTTGGCCCCGCCCTACCCCCGGGGATCATGATTTGAACAAACTTGAATCTACACTACCTGAGGATGCTTCCATATAAATATGTTCAATTATGGATTTGCTATTCTTGAGAAGAAGATTTTTAAAGAATTTTCCTTTATATTTCTATGTAAAACTTTGGTCGGCCATTGTGGGCCTGCCCTTCCCCGGGGGTCATGATTTGAACAAACTTGAATCTACACTACCTGAGGATGCTTCCATATAAATATGATCAATAATGGTTTGCTATTCTTGAGGAGAAGATTTTTAAAGAATTTTCCAATATATTTCTATGTACAAATTTGGTCGGTCATTTTGGCCCCCCCCCTACCCCCCCCCCCCCCCCCCCCCGGGGTCATGATTTGAACAAACTTGAATCTACATTTCCTGAGGAAGTTTCCCCATAAGTTTCATCTTTCCTGGCACAGTGGTTCTTGAGAAGAAGATTTTTAAAAGATAACACCAAATTTTCATTAATTCCCAATTTTCTCCCCTTGAATGAGGGCGTGGCCCTTCATTTGAACAAACTTGAATCCCCTTCACCCAAAACTGCTTTGTGGCAAGTTTGGTTGAAATTGGACCAACGGTTCTTGAGAAGATGAAAATGTAAAAAGTTTACAACGACAACAACTACTACTATGACGACAACGACAGACGACGGACAAATTTTGATCAGAAAAGCTCACTTGAGCCTTCTGCTCAGGTGAGCTAAAAAGGTCATGTATTTTCAATTACTTTTCAGTTACATTTCAATTACTTTTTTTTTCAAAATGAAAGTTTATATTTAAAAAGATGTCTTACACTGATACATAGTTTTATACTGTTGGGTTTATATTACTTATTCCCTTGTTTTATACGTTCATGTTTTAAGAAGGATACTCGATACGGCGCCCTCGATTAGTTCTTTCTCTCGCAGAATGGACAGTTTTCGGCCTTTCTCCTTTACAAAGAATAACGTAACTTTTCAGTATCACATAAACCAGAGGTGTTTGGTAGTTGGAGTTGACAGTGTCAATTTAGGTAAGAAGAGGCCCATGGGCCACATCACTCACCTGAGAAGCTTTGGCCATTCTGTTCTTTACCAGATTTCCCCTTGTAATACATATTGTGACCCCATCCTACCCCACTGATCATAATTTAAACAATTTGAAATCTACACTAACCCAGTATGCTTCCACATAAGTTTCAGCTTTTCTGGCCCAGTGGTTCTTGAGAAGAAGATTTTCAAAGATATTTTCTATATATTTCTATGTAAAACATTGATTCCCCAATGTGGCCCCGCCCTACCCCCGGAGGTCATGACTTGAACAATTTAGAATTTACACTACCCCAGGATGCTTCCACATAAGTTTCAGCTTATCTGGCCCAGTGGTTCTTGAGAAGGACATTTTCAAAGGTTTTTACTATATATTTCTATGTAAAACTTTGATTCCCCATTGTGGCCCCGCCCACACCTGGGGGTCATGATTTGAACAATTTAGAATCTACATTTCCCCAGGATGCTTCAACATAAGTTTCAGCTTTTCTGGCCCAGTGGTTCTTGAGAAGAAGATTTTTAAAGATTTTTCCTATATATTTCTATGTAAAACTTTGATTCCCCATTGTGGCCCCGCCCTACCCCCGGGGGTCATGATTTGAACAATTTACAATCTACACTACCCCAGGATGCTTCCACATAAGTATTAGCTTATCTGGCCCAGTGGTTCTTGAGAAGAAGATTTTTTAATGACCCAACCCTATATTTGTCTTTTCTTGATTATCTCCCCTTGTGAGGGGACATGGCCCTTCATTTTAAAAATTTAAATTCATCTTCAGCCAAGGATGCTTTGTACCAAGTTTGGACAAAATTGGCCCAGTGGTTCTTGATAAGAAGTCAAAAATGTGAAAAGTTTACAGACAGATGGACGGACAAGGGACAAAATGTGATCAGAAAAGCTCACTTGAGCCTTCGTCTCAGGTGAGCTAAAGAACAAATTATGCTAAGAACTATTATATAGACTTTCTCACAAAACAAACCTGCTTTCCACTTTCTCCTCATAGCGGTGTCGTACGACTGTTTTAGAACAATGAAATCGATGACATCAGGCATATCATGGTACCTGTAATATCACACAGCTTATTAGTAATAGAGTTATTGATAAAATACTCCATCAGACAATTATCAAAATCATAATACTTTTTAGTTAAACAAACCAAGATAAACCATATATACTTGTTGTACATATACAAACTTACATCATAAAATATCATACATGCCAACTTTCCCGATTTAGGCGGGATTCTCCCGATTTAACCCTTGCATCTTGCCTTCCCGATCGGGAGAGAAAAATTGCCCTAATTTACCGATTTGATAAAAAAAATCACCTTAAATTTTCATATTATAAAAGTTTCCCTACCACTGAATTTTGACAATCGGGATAACTTGTTCAGACTTGTTTATTCAATGCACCAGATAGGTTTCATTGTTTATTTAACCAGGTGTTAATTAGGCCTAGCCACAGGAAATCACTTCACGCTTGAACGCACACAGTTCAGGTACAAGTAGCTTATAGTTTGGGGCAATTAGGGGATTATCTTGTCAGTTTTAAGGGGTATGCAAGGTGAAACACATAGACTAACGTGATAACTATTACTCATTTTATTAAAAACATAAATTAAAGACAATAAAATACTAATCAAACCATAAAATCGGAATCCAAAGAGATCGTTTTCTGAAAATGAAAGTAGAAAATTACAACGCATAGCTGCTGATTTTGTCTTCATATTGAAGAATTTTGTAAAGTTTGCCAGTTAAAATATTATGAAAAAATTAAGATGAAACAATCAAGTGTATGTCAATTAGAATTTCTTTTCCCTCCCTTCTCCCAAAAGTAATGTGTTAGGTATGTGCATGTCTTAAGGAAATACCCACATGGCACCATCAAGACTGAAAAATTTCATGACTGTAAAAAAAATAATTCTCTTTTAGATAGGTGGTATAAATTTCTGTAAATTTAATATCTTATTAGAAATTCAAATTAATTGAAATATAAATAAAAAATCTCAAAAATATTTCCAGAAACAGGACCTTACAGTATCAAAACCTCATATTTCTTAGCCTTTGAAAAAAAATGATTTAAAAGTGGGAAGAAAAACTTTATTTTTTGTGTTGAATTAATTCCTTTGAAAATTGTCATTACACGCTAAATCCCCCATGGGAATTTTCAAAAGTTGGCATGTATGAAATATACAGGTAATTACCATTTGGGCATTTCATAGATAAAATCCTGTTTTTAAAAACTTACAGTATATGTACACTGTGCTACAAGTAAAATCTGACCGTACACACTCACTTAAATGTTAATGAGTTTTTCGTTGGTTTCCCGGTTTCCGGGTCGACATAAGCCATCTTAAGACAGCAGAGCCTAGGTGGACGGACTTCATACTTGATTCCTACTATCTTCATATGCTCTTGTTCCTACAATTATAAAGGATCTCTTGTAAAATGATTTTTAAAGATTTTTTTTTCACCTCAATCTATACTTGATTCCTTCAACATGTACAATCTTCATATTCTCTTGAGGAATATTAAAAGACTTTATCATAAAACAAGAGGCCCAGGGGCCTTATAGGTCACCTGAGCATTATGCAACAATCCAATGATTGAATTTTCTTTATGTTTTAAACTAGACGTCATGGCATTCACAATTATGAAAGAGGCACCATTGCTAATCATAACTATACACTTAGCATGTTTCGTTTGGTTACTTAATACCCATAGACAGAGTAGGGGATGATTTTTCCATTTTTTTTTTAAAATATAAAATTACTTTTTCAATCCCATGTGCTGTAGGCATTAATTATAACAAATATTACATAACTGACAGATTTCTATACTGTTTGTGTTGGACTTTGTCAAATGCCCATCATATTAAACAATATCAAATTAGTCTTAACACCTTAATCTATACCAAATTAATTTTGAAAAAAAGGCTGGCCATCAAATGACATATACTATAAACTGCTAGACCAGCAGTTCTTCTGTCTAATCCCCAAAGGATACAGATAAGACTGCTGATTGAGACAGCTATTATAGCCTTCCTACATTGAACTCATTAATTAATCTTTGACTGGATGCTTGCCTATACTCATTACTCCCTAGATATTAATAGATCTGCACTTTCTAACTTAAAACACTTTTAAAACATATAAAAAACTCAATGATTTCTTTTTAGATTTAATGCCAGAGAGGTTTTATATTTAAGGTGTTTCCATTCTCACAATTTTCATGGTTCAAAGTACAACCAGAAGTCTCTGTCTAGACTGAAGCTCTACTGGTTTGTATTTATAGCAAAGGAAGATGAAAGTACTTAAGCAGTTGGGAATTGAAACTTTACACTAGCAAAAAAGAGAATAATGATCTTTAAATAAGTCTCTTTATGTTCTTAGTGTAGTCTACTTGCACGCCACATTAAATTATAATCAGACTAAACTGTATTTGAAGTAGCATTTTGAGAGTAACAGATATTGCTATCTTTATTAACCAAGGTAATAATGTTCATTGAAGTCAAAAACGGACATAAAGAATTATGTACCTTAGTGTGTAATCTACTTGTGTGCCAAGTTATATTGAAATCATACCAAAACTGTAGGAGGAGTAGCATTTTGAAAGTATTTTACAGAAATTTCTATTTTTAGTAACAACGCCAACACCGTTCGTCAAAATCAAAAACCAATACACAGAATTATGTATCTCAGTGTTACTAAATCTACTTGTGTGCCAAGTTATATTGAAATCAGACCAAAATTGTAGGAGGAGTAGCATTTTGAAAGAATTTCACAGAAATTTCTATTTTTAGTAAAAACGACGACACCGTTCGTCAAAATCAAAAACCGATACACAGAATTATGTATCTTAGTGTAGTCTACTTGTGTGCCAAGTAATATTGAAATCAGACCAAAACTGTAGGAGGAGTAGCATTTTGAAAGAATTTCACAGAATTTTCTATTTTTAGTAACAACGCCGACACCGTTCCTGGAAATCAAATATCGATACACAGAATTATGTATCTTAGTGTAGTCTACTTGTGTGCCAAGTTATATTGAAATCAGACCAAAACTGTAGGAGGAGTGGCATTTTGAAAGAATTTCACAGAAATTTCTATTTTGTAGTAACAACGCCAACACCGTTTGTTGAAATCAAAAACCGATACACAGAAATATGTATCTTAGTGTAGTCTACTTATATGCCAAGTTATATTGAAATCAGATCAAAACTGTAGGAGGAGTAGCATTTTGAACAAGAGGCCCATGCAGGGGCCACAGCGCTCTACCGAGCACATTGGGCTTGAATTTAACCCCCCCCCCCACCCCCTGGCATTCATCATTTGAACAAACTAGAATCTACACTACCTGAGGATGATTCCATATAAATATCACTAGTCATAGCTTTGAAGTACTTGAAAAGAAGATTTTAAAAGATTTCCCTATATTTCCCTATGCAAAATTTGGGTCGGCCATTTTGGCCCCACCCTAGCCCCGGGGGTCATGATTTGAACAAACTCGAATCTACACTACCTGAGGATGATTCCGCATGAGTTTAATCTTTCCTGGCCCAGTGGTTCTTGAGAAGAAGATTTTTTAAAGATTTTTCCTATATATTCCTATGTAAAACTTGGGTCGGCCATTTTGGCCCCACCCTAGCCCCGGGAGTCATGATTTGAAGAAACTTGAATCTACACTACCTGAGGATGATTCCACATGAGTTCCAACTTTCCTGGCCCAGTGGTTCTGGAGAAGAAGATTTTTAAAGATTTTTCCTATATATTCCTATGTAAAACTTGGGTCGGCCATTTTGGCCCCACCCTAGCCCCGGGGGTCATGATTTGAACAAACTTGAATCTACACTACATGAGGATGATTCCACATGAGTTCCATCTTTCCTGGCCAAGTGGTTCTGGAGAAGAAGATTTTTAAAGATTTTTCCTATATATTCCTATGTAAAACTTGGGTTGGCCATTTTGGCCCCACCCTAGCCCCAGGGGTTATGATTTGAACAAACTTGAATCTACACTACCTGAGGATGATTCCACATGAGTTCCATCTTTCCTGGCCCAGTGGTTCTTAAGAAGAAGATTTTTTAACCAGAAGTCTCTGTCGAGACTGAAGCTCTACTGGTTTGTACTTATAGCAAAGGAAGACGAAAGTACATAAGCGGTTGGGAATTGAAACTTAACACTTGCAAAAAAGAGAATAATGATCCTTGAATAAGTCTCTTTAAGTTCTTAGTGTAGTCTACGTGCATGCCAAATTATATTATAATCAGTCTAAAACTGTATTTGAAGTAGCATTTTGAGAGCAACAGAAATTGCTATCTTTATTAACCAAGGAAATAATGTTCATTGAAGTCAAAAACGGATATAAAGAATTATGTACCTTAGTGTAGTCTACTTGTGTGCCAAGTTATATTGAAATCATACCAAAACTATAGGAGGAGTAGCATTTTGAAAGAATTTCAAAGAAATTTCTATTTTTAGTAACAATGCCAACACCATTCGTCGAAATCAAAAGCCGATACACAGAATTACGTATATTAGTGTAGTCTACTTATATAGCAAGTTATATTGAAATCATACCAAAACTGTTGGAGTAGCATTTTGAAAGAATTTCACAGAAATTTCTATTTTTAGTAACAATGCCAACACCATTCGTCGAAATCAAAAGCCGATACACAGAATTATGTATATTAGTGTAGTCTACTTATATAGCAAGTTATATTGAAATCATACCAAAACTGTAGGAGGAGTAGCATTTTAAAATAATTTCACAGAATTTTCTATTTTTAGTAACAACGCCAACACCGTTGGTCGAAGTAAAAAACTGATATATTGAATTATGTATCTTAGTGTAGTCTACTTGTGTGCCAAGTTATATTGAAATCGTACCATAACTGTGGGAGGAGTAGCATTTTGAAAGAATTTCACAGAAATTTCTATTTTTAGTAACAACGCCAACACCGTTTGTCAAAATCAAAAACCGATAAACAGAATTATGTATCTTAAAGTAATCTATTTGTGTGCCAAGTTTTATTGAAATCATACCAAAACTGTAGGAGGAGTTGCAATTTGAAAGAATTTCACAGAAATATCTATTTTTAGTAACAACGCCAACACCATTCGTCGAAATCAAAAACCGATACACAGAATTATATATCTTAGTGTAGTCTACTTGTGTGCCATGTTATATTGAAATCATACCAAAACTGTAGGAGGAGTAGCATTTTGAAAGAATTTCACAGAAATTTCTATTTTTAGTAACAACGCCAACACCGTTTGTCAAAATCAAAAAAACGATATACAGAATTATGTATCTCAATGTAGTCTACTTGTGTGCCAAGTTATATTGAAATCATACTAAAACTGTAGGAGGAGTAGCATTTTGAAAGAATTTCACAGAAATTTCTATTTTTAGTAACAATGCCAACACCGTTCATCGAAATCAAAAACCAATATACAGAATTATGTATCTTAGTGTAGTCTTCTTGTGTGCCAAGTTATATTGAAATCAGATCAAAACTGTAGGAGGAGTAGCATTTTGAAAAATTGTTTACAGACAGACAGACAGACGGACAGACGGACGGACGCCGGACCCATTACTATCGCATAAGCTCTTCTGGTCTCTGACCAGTAGAGCTAAAAATGGCATTAATTTTTCTCTAATTCATAATTATCTCCCCTTGGAAAAGGGCGTGGCGCTTCATTTGAAGAAACTTGAATCCCCTTCACCCAAGAATACTTTGTGCCAAGTTTGATTGAAATTGGCCCATCGGTTCTTGAAAAGAAGTCGAAAATGTGAAAAGTTTACAGACAGACGGACGCCGGATAAAATGTGATCAGAAAAGCTCACCTGAGCCTTCGGCTCAGGTGAACTAAAAAGCTTTATTTACACATTCATTACCCCATCGTCTCAAGCCACGGTCCGGAGTCCGCATATATAGCTCTCTCCTACCCGTGGCTGCTTGAGCACAAAAAGTGTCGTAGTCTTGAATATTTACGCCTCTCTATTGTGACGTCATATTCAGTCAGTAGCAAGTTTTGTTTCCATCGCAATCGAAATCAACAACTGACGTCAACAGTATACAAGAAATATTATCTATACTGCCATTGGATATTGAAAGGTCGCGCATTGGTCAATATTATAATGAGCTACGAAGAATTCTCTCCTCGTTCAACCACGGCCAGATGGGAGAGGAGCGTACATTTTGGCCGTGGTTTGCGAAGATGTCATTACCCAGGATGATGCATAAAACAGGAAATGATGGAAATATTAATGGTATCTAAAGTCTCACCCTGAGGTTTTGATTCAGGTGCCAGGGCTGGTTCTTGCGTATATCAAATTTGTAAACATTGTGTTTCTTCACCGCGAGGAGGTAAAGTTTGTGACCCTGTTTGAAGTACATGACGTCGTCTCCCATCTGTGGTACATACTGAAACTTCCTGGGAATGACGTCCGTCAACCAATCCGAAGGCCGAAACTCTTCTTCCCTCTCTTTGACGATTTTTTCTTTTCTCTGAAAATAAATGAGCATGATATATATACAAATATTCTTTTTCAGCACTCATTTCCAGAAGGAAATCTCAAGTCTTTCAATGTAAAGATTTAATGAAATTTAATAAATTAGTTTCTTTTTTACTGCTTAATCAGAGATAAAACTGTACATTTGATCGAACTATTTTCATTTTACCAGATTACCATGATCAATAATATACAAGATCACAACTAGACAAATGTACATATTGAGAACAGGATGCAAATATTTCCTCTATTAAAATATGGAAGGAAAATCACAAATGTTCCATACCCAGTCAATTTGTTTGAGGCTGATTGGACTTAAGGGAAAGAAATTATGTACTGAACAAAGATTTTCAACAGAGAGGCTATTTTTGACCTTGAACCTTGACCTACAAACTTTATTCAAGGTCGGTGCACATTCTTAAAATGTGTTGTATTGTATAAATTGTATGAAAAATATAAATTAATTGATATTATTATTCTACACATTATATCAAAATATTGAGCCTGAACACACCTGTGCTCGGTGATTTTTACTCAAAATATTGACACAATTTTTAAATTTTTCTATAGAAATCATTGAAATTTTTAGATTTACGTCATTTTCCTGACGTCATTTCAAACATATGACGTCATTGTTGACAAAAACATTTAGTCTTTTGAAGTCAGCATGAATCCCCCTGTTTTAAAACATAATTAAATTTTACTCAGTCAAAGTTTGATTTTAAGGGCAAATATTGGTTACTACTGAATAAAGTTCTTTTGCTATGACCTTAACCTTTGATCAAGAAACATGATTCAAGGTCACTGCACATCCTTTACCCACAGGCACCATGTTTGTGAAGTATGGGCCAGATTATGCTAAAGAAAGTTAAAAAATGCTTCAGACAGGAATCTAAACAAGAAGGCTATTTTTTACCTTGACCTAGATACTTTGCTCAAGGTCAATACACATTCATTGACCACTGGCACACTGTGAGTGAAGTATAAGTCACATTGGACAAAGGAGAGGGGATATCCTCTGAACAAGGAATTTTCATATAATTCTGCTTTGACCTTGACCTTTGATCTAGAAACATTGCTTAAAGTCACTGCACATTCAATGACCACTGGCACTCTGTGGGTGAAGATCGTATTAGCCAGATTGGGCCAAGGAGAGAGAAGATATACTCCAGACAAGGATTTTTCATATACGAGGGCTGTTCAATAAATAATGTCCTGAACTATATGACATACATTACAGATATCGTATGACATTAAACTTGACTTTCTCTCATTATTGAATCTTTCGTGAATTTATAACAGTTTATGTGACCACTTTTCATCACATATACCCCATTCATACGACGAAAATTTACTTATGTGTGCAAATTTACATATAAGTAAATCTACACACGTAAGTAGAAGTTAATTTGCAAGATTTATGTACTGTAAGTAAATCCTCATATTTTCATATAAAATAAGGAGATGGACAGATTAAAAATTGTGAATTTTTATAGAAACTAGGTGTATTTTCTTACTGTTTTGGTAAAAACCTAACTTTTGAATGTTCCTTAAGGGTCCTCCACACCATGTGACCTGTGACGTATATAGAGAAAAAAAAATGAGTCTCAGGGACGGGTGAGATTCACTCCGGAAGTTAAAGTGCGCATGCGCAGACTTCTATACCTCAGATCAAACCCGATCTAATTTAACTTAGTCAACAATGGCGGTATCTTCAAAGACCTCGATTTGCGCTGTTCTCAACCTGGTTGTAAGTGAATAATTCTTATAAAAATCTCATAATCGGTAATCGGTAACAATATATCTTATTCGCTATAATATTAATACATGTATTTTGCGTGATACCATTCATAAAAAGCATGTTAACCTTGACAGTTAGCTATTCAATGACAAACTATGAGGTAAACTACATTTCATTGAAAGTATGTCAACTTGATTGAAACACTTAATTTTATTGCATAAAAAAGTAAACTGTGTACTAATATGTATGTTTCACTGAATAATAAACTAAATTAAGCCTTATAAATATTTTTTACCCCCCCCCCCTCACCATAGGGGAATTTTATATGAAAATTCTTTCACACAGGCCTAGTATAACATGTATGACCCCCCCCCCCCCCACACACACACACTGCAACCCTGCCTAATCACAAGCCTGTATTATGTATAACTGTTAACGGTAGAATGAAGATCCAGGGAGGCTGGGTACAAACATGATGATTGAGGAAAAGATATTTAGGAAAGACTTCTTGGCAAAGTATTGCGGAAAAGATTTCTTTTTGAAAAATATGGCATAGTACATTCTACATTTAAAATGCAAAGTCAATATTCAATTACATTATAATACAAATACAAATATTTATTGGCATAACACAATTAATTACAATGGCAAAGGCACAACATATTATGAATATCATTTATTGTTCATGTATTTAAACAATATTCTGGTGTGTGACATTATGTGACATTATACTTAATCATAATAAAATCATACCATTATTTGCAAAATAATTAGGTTGTGCAATCAGTTGTAAATGTAATACATGTGTTATAAAAATATCATTTTTCCCCCTTTCAGGGTGTGTATGCTATATTTCATGGACAAAGTATTTCACTCTGGTAAAGATTTTTCAAATTTTGTCGGTGAATTGTATTTAAAATTTATAATTATGAATATCCCTTTTTCTTCAGGTCCTTGTATTGAGCTTGAGTTTTGCGTACAGTACAAACATTTATAATGCAGGAGATGATCATAACTACTTTTCCTTTGATGTAAGTTGCTATTATCAAAATTACCTGACAAGATCAAAGTTTATCATTGTCACAGGTGGTGAAAAATCAAGTCTCAACCAGGACTCGAACCCAGGGCCTCTGGCGTACCGTGCCAGCGCTCTAACCACTGAGCTATTGAGACCCGATATATTGACTGACTTTCACGCACCTGTGAACCCGGTGACTTCATCTTTGACATTTATGAATACATTGTAAAATCCTATAACCCTATTTTAACAAACATCTCAAACTTCATGAAATTATAGTTGTAAATTAATTTTATTACTGGTATGCATGTAATGGAAAGAAACTTAAATTAGCTAATATGTAATGTAAAGATGACATCTGATCATCATTGAAACCAAAAATCAATAAAATTGAACATAATTCAGCATTATCAACTTGTGACAAGGGTGCAGAATGTTTGTTTATTTAGAGAGGAATTAAAAAAAATATTTTAAAGAAGATTGAAGATGAAAACTTAAGTACTTTTACAAATAATTTCATTTTCACATAATTTTGACAATCTATTTAGAGGATTAACCAGTATTTTATAATTCTTTTTCAACAAGGTACTGAAGGGATTGAATACTCCTCAGCTAAATACTGTGCAGGTAATCAACATAATTTTGATTTACTGAACATGCTGAAATAACCTTTTCTACTTCATTAAATTTAACTTTTTGCTAATGAAAATTAAAATATTTAAGCCTTTTAAGGTTCATAAACCCTCTGTTCACTCATATAAAATGTTGCTTGAACCTTAATGATTTTCCAAAAGAAATGTATTTTATAAGCAAAATACTGACAATTATAGCATAGTTTGCAGGGCAAAAATTTGACAAAAAAAAACCTTCAACTTGACAAATCTATAAAGGAATAATAGACATTATTGTCATTAAGAGTTATCTCTCTTATCAAAGTATCAATGACCCTTAAGGTTAGCATGCATCATAGAATATAATGTAATGTAACATCCAATAGCAAAAAAAGATTTTTAAAAAATGCATTTTTGCTTTTAAAATGCATGTGCATAGTAAGAGTATGACTATGATATATCTGTAAAGGTTTAGGTGGTGGATATCGGCCTGGATAGCTCACTTGGTAGAGCACTTGACTGGAGGTGCAGGGGGCCCAGGTTTGATTCTCGGTCCAGCCATACATTTTCTCCTTTCCTATTACACGTGGTTATAATATTACTTAAATTTTATACGGATCCTGTGTTATCTTATGAATTTGGAACAACAGAATTATTTCTGCCTATAAATTTATCATAAAAATCTGCATACATTTCAGGATATTAATGGTCCCCTCCCAGCTGATGGAAATTTTCCTATGATGGAAACTCCGAATAATACAGATCTGGATATTGATATGGAGGTATGAAAATAATAAAAAAAAAATAATAAAAGACAAATGGTCTTTAGTTTAAGGACCCTCTCTACACCAGTGCAAAATGTTTTTTAGACATTGAGAAAAATATAATGTATAAAGGTGTTAATATTGAGCATATCAACATAATTTTCACTGTATGGTGCATTACATTTACCCCCGGGAAAAATGTCCAAATAGAAATCACTGTTGTTTACTTCCAAAGAGAAAATACCTGTAAATAACATGTTCAATTAATTAATCTAGGTCTTTTAAAATGTAAAAAATATTTGCATCGATTAAGAATTAAGTTATATACTGTAAATTATTTTTTAAAGAATTAAGATCTAAGGGGAGATCACTCTAATTGCAGAAAAATAGCATAGAATAAGAACTCTTTAGTGTGCAGTGTGGAGAGGGTTTTCAATGCAGTGAACAACAAACAGTTGTCTGAGTAGTTTCATTTTTAGTTCACCTGAGCCGAATGCTCAAGTGAGCTTTTCTGATCAAAGTTTGTCCGTCGTCTGTCGTTGTCGTAAACTTTTCACATTTTCATCTTCTTCTCAAAATTTGAGAAAAAATACTTCTACTTCCGTTTTTATTGAGAATATACATGAACGAATTGTCCTACCACCGTTTGTAAACAATGAACACATGGCATGATCACGGAGTGACCGATGAAAAGGATGTGCGGTATTTTTTTTTTATAATAAAAGAACAACAAACGTAAAGAACAACAAACGTCTTGGATTATGTTAATAAAGATAATAATTCCTAGACAACAGGTACCTGTGGGTATGACGAGAAACGTATAGGTTATTTACACTTTCAGGCTAATCAACCGAGTCTGTTTTTGATAGTTGAAATTTCGGCACACTAATTTGTACGTTTCAATAATACATTATCTCAATGTGTGTTTATAAATATTGATAAATTAGTGTGCGGTTTTAGTTTTCCTCTCTTATTTTTGTCCAGTTCAGTGGCCAGTATATTACTAGATATAGTATGGTGACGTAAGCGGAGACTTGCCAAAGTTTTTGAGTCCCGAGCAACAGGAAAGATAACTCCAAATAGGAACTTTGATACCAGATATTTTGAAAATGTTTTTTCTACATCAGTGCATTTAATTTTAATATAATTTTTTTTATGTAATCTAATTCATTAATGTTTCTTCTCTACAAAAGGAGGCCTTGTTGATTTTTCTCGTGATGTATTTCAGAGAAAATGAGTTTTATGTACTTTTTATAAATAAAATAAATCTCTGTAAAATATGTGATGATCGATAAAATTAAGTTTTTATGGTTATTATGTGAGCTTAAAAATATACGAAAAGGTAAGACAAAATTTTTTGTGCTAGGTATGAAAATGCCTTGGGAAAAATTTCTTGAAACTTGTGAAATAATTATTTCAAAAAATCAGTATAAATTACATTTTAATCCCTGGACAGTTTTTAAAGGCTGATATGCTTGTTAAAAGTAATGCTCAATAATATGAGAACATAAGCTGTAGGTGTGTGGAGGACCCTTAAAGACTAGGGTGGAAATCCGATCCACTAATTAATATATTGGTACGAGGGCCGTTCCAAAATTACGCGGACTGTGCTATTATTTACTCTTACAGACGTCATATAGTTATGAAATTTCACAGAAATACGTTTCTTAAAGATTTAAATAAATTCTGGGCAAAATT